ATAATAAATCTAGTGAAAAGTAATTAATTCAATACCACCAGTTGTGTGAAAAAAATTACTCCAATATTATTGGCATCATTCCTATAATATTATGGGAATGGTTCCCATAATATTATAGGAATGGTTCCTATAATATTATGAAAACCATTCCTATAATGTTATGGAAACTATTCCTATATATTATAGGAACCATTCCTATATATTATGGGAATCATGCCGATATTACAGTTATAATTATAGGTATCGTTTTTATAATTATAGGAACCATTCCCATAATTATAGTAACGTTTCCCAAAATTTATGGGTATAATTCCCATAATTTAAGTAATCGCTCCTAAATGGTAATAGGAAAATATTTCATTAAAATTTTTCTCTCCGTGTACATTTGCTTGCGCTACATAATAAATAAAAGCATTAAAACGGTATTAATTAATTCTTTAGCGACTTTAGAAAAATTACGGTTTAATTTTATTTAATTATTCTAATTAATTTTAACTAATTTTCAGTACGTTGAATTTAATATCAGATAAAATAATCTTCTAACTGAAAAATTTTTACTTTAAATAAAAATTTAATGAATAGATAAGATAAAATCATTTTAGTCGCATAAATATAATAGTAATAGGGTATAAAGATAATTTTCTGGAATTTTCTTAATAGATTACAAAGAAAAAAGTAATATATTGTGAACGCTACGAATGAAATTTAACAATGACTCATTACTTTGAAATTTTTTAACATAATTTAAGAATCGATTATCTTTGTGTAATATCATTAAAATTTCTATTTCATTATACACGACAAAATAGTATTCAAAAGCTTTTGAAAATATGTACCAGTCAATTGCACAAACACTTAATTGAAAAGATTTGATTATTTAAAAAAAATTCTATCGAAAATACTAACCTCGAGTCCTGTATAATTTGTTACTATTGAGAAGATATAAATGTAAACTTCAAAACTCTTCAATCACTCACAAATAAATAATTTATTCTTGAGCTTGGGCTGCTAGACTGTATTTTGATGAAGAAAAACGAGCGACTAATGCATGATTTTTCTAAACGCTTGCTTATATTAACAATTTGCTATATTCAAATATCAATTTTTGGACTAATACAAATTTAGCTGCTATTATATGCTTCTATATAGTTTCTAGTTCTCGGAAAAAATTGTTTGGATTTATATAAAGGCCTAATCTTTTATTTTGGAAAGCAAACTGAACAAAATTTAATTTGCATGATATAAATTTGAAATCAATTTTTTCTAGTTACAGTTTTTGAATTAATTGATAGAAATAGATTTATACTTTGAATCAATTTTGATTTTTTTTTCCTATAAAAATAATACAAATAGGAAGAAATCTATGTACATATAAATTTTTATTATATTACTGAGTTAGTTAGCTTCAAAAAGTCTTATGACTTTTTTTATGAATTTAAGTACTAAAAGTTTAATTTAAAAATTCAAAGTATGAAGATTGAAGATTTTATGTAATAAATAATTTAAATAGATTTTATCGAATTAGATTCAAAGTTTGTTTGCATGTTGATAAAAAATAAAAATAAAAATCTAATAAAGTAAAATTCTTATTTTAAATTAATGGAGTGAACAATTGATGATAATAAATCCTAAAATAATTATTTTTCAAAATTTGTAATAACATCAAAACATTTAATAAACTCTTAAATGATTATTTTGTACTTAGTAAATAATATATTATTATAATTTAATAAAAAAATTAATGTACAGCTAAAAATTATTCAAATAAATAAAAACTAAATTTAAAATGAATACTGAGAAAATAATTTTGCTCGTACAAGCAGAATTTGAATTGAATTTAAAAACTATTAGGTCACTTTCCGTAGTTGCCCAAGGATATACGCCGCTGTCAAAAAATAATGGACACTCGTCTCGTTCACGCTCATATTCCTGTGACAAAAATATGATTAAAGTCACAAACGCTTATTTGATAAACAGAAATCAATGACTGGACATAAAAAATTACCGTCATATCAATCGCTAAAGCGGCTCCTTCAGTCCAATTGTAACTTTTTGCCGTCTGATCTAGACTACAAACGGGACCAGCAGCTTGAGACATAATTATTCTGTTGAGGCCAGTCCTTTGGTACACCCAGCATCGATAAGCACTCGCTGGGTCTAGTACGTCGTATGTTATCAAATACGACTTAATATTTTCCAAAAAATAACCAACACATTGCAATTTATAATCAGGATCACCTTTAAAACATATAAATCATATTGTGACTTCTATACATGTTTTTTTTTTACTAATAAACAAAATTTTACTGTAAATGTCAACGGGTCGTCCTTTCCAATCTAATGTTAAACAATAGTCTTTTTTAATGTTTATTTCTTTTTGTCTGAAATCACAATTTGAAAAGTCGGATATATTCTCCTGACAATAAAGCTCTGGTCTCGGTGCTACCGTAACACCGCCTAAAATTCGTGTCTCAAATAAATGATCTCCTCTTTGTGTGAATTGAAATTTTCCTGCAATTGGGCATCTTATCGGAGTAGGATCTTTTGCTATATTAAAAAATTTCATCATAAATTAACATTATTGTTTATGAAAATTTTTTAAGTTATTTATTTACATACCCACAAGCAAACTGTACTTCCATTTAATTTGATTTTGAAACTGCCTCCATGAACAAGCTACCGAAAAGTCATCTTGAATAACAGCAATACTTCTTCTGTATCTTATAATATTATGATGCCGTGGTATAAAATCGTAACAAATATAATCTTTTTGACTGTAATAATTTTTCAAATTATTGGCGATAAATATTTTAAATAACTTAATCTTGGGAATTTGGACAATAAATGAAGATGTTAAATTATAAGAATTTCAGTTTATCTTATTCATTTATTAAGTTGAATGGTATTTGAGAGATACTATGTGAAAATTAGACGAGGATGTTAACCATAAGATTCGCCTGATGAAGCTGAAATAAATCAGCAAAATGTTGCAATTCTTATACAGTCGAGTCGCGTTATGAGCCCTCCTTGTGTCTCTCTCTTATTAACGCGAGTCTGGTTAAAAAACAAAGAAAATAAGCCGGACTCATAATGCGATTCGACTGTAATTTAACTTTTTCATTTATTGTCTAAATTCTCAAGATTATTTAAAATGTTTTTAAAATTGACGATAACTTAAATATTAAATTTAAATACTAATTTTTATACTTTTAGTGATACTGAGATTAACAGACATTTGCCAATTTTTTGGATTTCTAGACCAACTAAATTATTATGGAAAAATTTTATTAAAAAAATTTCATGACTAGAAATTTTGTAAATAAAGTTAACCGACATTTTAAAACTTTTAGAAATTTTTTATTGAAGAAATTTCAATTAAACAATTAAAAAAAAAAAATTTCACATCTAAAAAATTTGAAAAACTATAAGTGCAATTTTTTAGAATTATCTTTTTAGTTGTAATTTAATAAATAAAAAAAATAAAAAATTTTTAGACGTCTGCTAACTTTACTGTCATCTAGAAATTAAAAAAATTTTGTTTAATTATCAGATGTCTGCTGATTTCAGGATCATTACTTTTATGATATTGATAATTATTAAAAAAGTATTTATTTATTTATAAAGAAAATAAATTTACCATCCAAAAGTATCAAGACGAGCCATCATTACTCTTGTATCACGTTTTTGCATACAAACATAAATTGTTTTTCGTTCACGTCCTGTATCGGGATACCATGTTTCTACAATATGTGTATCATTAATAACCACATTAGCTTCTTTATAATCCAAATTTATCCAAGGCCCTGTCATATTTTGCGCGAGTTTACATCTAGGTTCAACAACTTCAGATTTTTTTTGAGTAATGTGCAATCGTATTGGACTGTCGTCTATTGCACTCAAAGTGTTACACTCAGGAGTTAATGACATTCCAATATATTTTTCGTCATCACGATTTTTCAAGAAGCATCGATATTTTTCTTCTATGCGGGTCTCTTTTGTATTGACTACGGCGAAGTAATGATTTTTATCGACAAACCAATCACCCAAACAACTGTACTCGGCCACTAAAAATTCGAATTGATTTAATGTATAATAAAACAAAAAATTTAATACTTATACGGTCAAGAAAAGAAATTAATTTTCACCTGCGTCCATTGTTCCATTCATATTGTCACATTTTTTATATGTTATATTAAATTTTTGGTTACTTATCATAAATTGAGATCCTGCTGTTTGACATGATCTTATTTCAGCATCTTCATGATTGCACTCTCCCGTAAATCTGAAACGGTTCTAAAATTCACGATAATTTTTATTGCGTTCTATTAATATATAATTTTCATTTGATTGATTAGGAAAATTAATCAATTACCTGATAGGCGAATTGCCATACTCCTTCAAGAGACGATCTACAGTTAACAGGTCTCGGAAACTCTGAAAATAATGTAATTTGTTGTTTTCTGTCCATTCCTTGGCATATGTTTTCAATTGTCGGTTCCACGCTTTCAGGTAATTCTATGCATTCCACTTAAATGAAAAAAAAAAAAGTTATTATAAGCAAACTTTATAACAGAAAAAATTAAGTTTTCTTTAAACTATTCAAAAAAGAAAATTGAACTTTACAACAAATTGGATTACTTTAAATTAATTTTTATATTCAAGCTATCAGTTATCAAAAGTCTTTTTTAATTTTCAAAAAATTTTTTTGATTTTATTCTGTCTACACTAAGAAAAATAATTTCTTTTGAAAAAAATGAGCCATGTTTCAATAAGAAATAAATTTGTTAAAAATTTTGAATAATTTTATTTTTCAGCTGAAAAAATTAAAATCTTTCCCACAGTAACTTTGTTGTTAAAAAAAAAAAATTTTCTAGATTTGGAAAAAAATAATTTTGAATGAAAATTCGAAAGTTGTCTATCTAAATTTTTTTTTTCCTAAATTAAAAAACCTTTTTTCAACCAAAAAAGTTACTGTGAGAAAAATTTTGATTTCTTCAACTAAAAAATCAAATTGTTGAAAATTAACAAGTTAACTTTTTGTCACAATGTCTATTTTTTTAAAAGAAATTTTTTTTTTTTTTTCAGCATATGATCCATTTTGCTGAACAAAAAAAATTTAGTGACATGAATATTACTTGATTCTTTTTTCTTTTAAACATTAAATTTAATCATATACTTACATTCAGTTTTATCTAAAATATTTAACGTTCTTGTAACAAGTTGAACACAATGATAACATGTGTGTTCTTTAAACACAAATGTATGATTTGATACTTCATTTTCTTTCATTAAAATACACTGTCCGCGACCTGACATTGATTCAGCATCGATGACCGTCCTTATATTTCTATTTTCCCATGTAAACCAAGCGCCTCTAATAACTTCAGGAATCTGACAAGCTCTTTCTTCTTGAAGAGACAAACGAACTGCAGTAAAAAATTCATTTTATACATTTTCTGCTCGTTTTTAAATAACAAATAAATATCTTACCATAAATAAGCAAAAATAATAATTTAAACAACGTAAACTTATTAGCAGTCAACATTTTGTACGAGTTATTTTATTAATAAACAACGTTATTGACCGAATTCACGGAATCAATATTCTTATATAGTTTGTCCGAGTTTAACGCTTTTCTTCCGACTAAAAAATAAAGTGAAAATGAACACGCCCTTGTCTTTGTTAACTCATGTCTCACCGATTGTAGTTTTGATATGACAGAACGCTTAGAATTTTGTGTATGTTAAATAAGAATACTACGTAATAGAGTATTTTGTAACGTGTAGGTGGAAACAGAGGGGATACGCGTGCCACGAATGGAACTTCATAGCTTCAACAGGTGTAACGTGTGGACAAAACATATGTATTTACATCTATGTCTGCTAATAATCATTATCACGTACATTAAAGAGTAATGTGGATGAGTGAGTACTAAAAAATGACTATTCTTGAAATCTTGACAAATATTTCAAAAATTATTAATACCATATTTTTTAAAATTTTGAGTACCCATTAAGAATAGCAAATATCAAGGAGTTGCATTAATTAATTAATGTTTAAATAAAAATGTATTTAGATTTAGATTTAGATTAATTTAATTATACCAAAGCCAAGGCCTGATGGCAAGTTACACAATATACATGCATGTTGAGTATAAATGTACAGGAAATGACAATTTTATAAATTAATGATGTATTAAGAGTAGAAAAATATGAAACAATATGAAAAATCGTTAATAAATTGATAATGAAGTTTTTGGAGTAAACAAGAGAAAGTACATTAACAATGTTATTTTTGTTGTTCTCTTCTCTCAGATCTCTTAATTCTTAAATCTATCTTCTTTTTACAGATGCTATTTATTGTATATAAACATTACTAAACATTCTACACATGAAAATGTAACATATATTCTTGTAAATTGCCGAGGGCGTACGTTTCTTTGCAAATAAATAAATCTATCTATATACTAATAAATGGAGAGCCGGTTTTTTTGTCCGGTTATACTGCGAAGTTTTGGAGAAGGTTTTAGTATATGATATGGTGAACTTATATTTTTTTCGACTTAGAAATAATGAATTTTTATTGTAACTAAATTTATTCTATTCGATTGTCATTTGTTTAAAATACATCTTTTAATTCTATTGGTTATGTTTACATACAAGGCAGATTTCTTCACTTATGAGACCTGCAATTTCTTTAACTTAAACTTTCAATGCTCATTACAAATTTTTTTTTTCATATCAATTATTATTAATTTTTGTAAGAAAGACACGGGAATGTTATAATGATTGCACATTGAAAGTTACAATGAATATTAACTAGAATAATTACATAGATAAAAGGTGCATTCCAGTTCAATAGAATTGAGAATCTGTGCAAATCAAAACAATACTCTAATTAAATTTCAAGTCTAGATCTAAAAAAATACAATTATATAAAGCGCCCAGCGAAGCCGGCGAGTAACAGCTAGTAAATAAATATTTGATTGCGTGAATATATCGATTTAACTGATAAAGGACTTTTTCTTAAATATCAAGATTAAATAAGTGATCAAATATTTTTTTTTTAAAAACTTCTAAACTTGAAGAGTTTATTATATCCGCTGGTAATATTCCTCCTATAAATGTATTGCTGTTACAACAAACGAAAGTTCATAGAGCGTAGAAGAGAAATTCGGTAATCTGAAAGAAACATAATTTTTCTTGGCTGCAAGTCTCTCTGAACTTCGGGTCTTCAATAAACAATTCTCGCAAATAGCAAGGCTTACCAATATTTAACAACTTATAGAAAAATCAAGAAGAAATGGAGCAAATACGTCGACTCTTCACAGAGAGTCAACCTAATTCACGTTTGTACGGACTGATATGTTCATTTCGTGAATGTCATTGTTGTGAATTCGACTTGAAATAGTCATTGAAATTCAGAAGAAATCAAAAACTTATTTTTGATTAAAATATAGCCGTGCCTTAAGTTTTAAAGTCCGTTTTTTATTGATACTGATTTAATTAAAATTATATTTAATTGAAAATTTTAATTTTTAACATCCAAATTTACATGACAGGAATTTCATAATTAATCAAAATTGTTTTATTTTCACAAGTTTATAATATATACAGGTCTGCGCTGAAAAAATTGACTATTATCCATATTAATGGAATTAAATAGATAATGATTACTTAATTTTTTCTTTATTTTTCAAAAACTTTGACATAATGTATACATTCATGTTTTATTTGGTAAAAAAAAGAAAAAAAAAAACAATTTTTTACATTAAAAATATTAGCACTTTTATGCTTATAAATACTTATATATAACAGAGTGAGTAGAAATTTATATATAATATAAGAAATTTTTTTCTTCACAATAATACGTATATAGTTGAATAGTTTATTTAAATATTAATTTTAAATAATTTAAAAGAATCACATAATTATATCGGCTTTAGCCTATTCGTTATTTTTCAAGATGGATACTTTATATAAATTCTATCAAAAAAAGTATAATAACTAATTAAGGTCAATGACTAGAATAATTGCATTCAATTTAGTTATATTTTTTTATAGACGTAATTTTTAATAATTTCAAATAGAAATGATCTTTTATTTACTTATATACCTTTTTTTAAATCTTGAGTAAATTTCAAAAAATTTTTTATCGGGCAATAGTATATTTACATGTATAACTGATTGCCAAATTAGAAAAAAGAGATAATTTCATTAAATAATAAGCACTTTTTGCGACAATTTACCATTTGAGTATTGCAATATGTATAAAATGAGCTGAGCTCAGTATTATTTTTATAAATATGTAGTGTAAATAACTGTTTCAATCGTTATTATTATTATTATTATAATTATTATTAATTATTATTCATGAGATAAAGACATTGATATTTGTTTCAATTACGGAAATTAATGGTGCGCAAAATTAATCAGTAACTAATTAAATCGATCACAATTTAGTATAATGTAACAACAGATCTTGTTAATTCTCGACGCTGGTAGTAATTCCAACTATTCTATTTTTTTAATTTTGTATAACTTAAATAATCCATGTACAGAAAAAAAAATTTACTTGAATCAAGTAAATAATATTGAAGAACTTCATTTTATTGATTTGAGTAGAAAAATTTTTAAACTAAAAAATTTTATTTGATTGAAAAATTTTTCGTCTTGATTCAAGATAATGAAAATCTTCCAAGTAAATTTTTTTTCACTGTAATTGTAACATTTAATTTTTATGACGTTACAAAAATTGTTTTTAAAATTAAAATTTTATTGCAAAAAGCAAAAATAAAAATCTCAAGTTAGTCAATTAAAAACCAGTGACTTTATCTCGTACATAATGTTTTAAATAATTTTGTTTTTTACAGAAAACGTGGTTTTTTATTTGTTAATTGTGCTGCAACGCTTAAAAGCATCATAACATGTTCGCTGTTGGCTGATGGTCTTCCGGGTGATTTAATCTGAGAGTTATTTTCTCTTGGATTATTAATGTGGGGATTGTTGCTTACTGACCGGCAATTGTAGTGGAATCGTTCGTGGTTAGCAGTCAAATCAGATTGTAAATTAACTGTGCGCATTGCTGCAGTATCTGTGTGTTGAACTGCATAATGACGATACTGATGAGGATGAGGCTGCTGATTAACAAATGCTCTTCTTGAGTCATTGGTTTCTTTCAGTGGCGCGTGAATAAGACTAGCTGCTGGACCTTCCAATGTTTGACAGCAAGTCGGCAAACATTGCCATACGCGTGACAGTCCGAATATATTGAAGCAAGGACGTGCCAAAAACCTACGATACACAAAGTGTATGCTTTTATTATTATATATATATATATATAATACTAGTTTTTTTTTTTTTTTTAAGTAAGAGAAATCGAGACATGATATTTTACCTTTCAAGATTTATTTATTTTTTTTTTTTAATTAAGGATCAATAATTAGTATCAAAACTTATTAACTGATATTTATTTAATTAATTAGTTATTATCAAACAATTTAATTAATAACTTAAAATATACTTAGATTTGTTTTAATAAAATTTTTATTAACTAAACATTTAATTGTTAATGAATTATTTTATAAAACTAAAATCTTGGATTAATTGAAAATATTTAAAATAAAAATTTTTATTCAAAGTATTTATTCAAAATATTTATTAAAATATTCATTCAAAGTAAAAACTCAATAGATTCTTTTTTTTGACTTCAAAATAGTTTTAAATTCTAATTAAAAATTAAATAGAGAAATTTTAAAGATTACAATGCATGATTCGTTATTTCTTATCCCGATTTTTCTCATTAAAACAATTAATTTTTCTTTATATTATCAAGAAATAAAAATTTAGCATACAAGACAATATGTAAAAGACAAAAGCATTGTTTATAAAAAAAAAAAATGAATGGTATATGAATCTTACCTTGGTCGAGAGGGCTCTTTGATGTCGCTTAAAAGAAACGGTTCATGCTGAAGATCGTGAGGCTTATAACGATCTAGTGATAATTTGAATGTCATGTAACTGAAAAATTTATTAATTTTGATTTTTATTTCAAAGAAAAATTTTTTATTTCTTTTATAAAATTACAGAAACAATACTCGGAGGGTATTTAATATTTACAATATTAGAAAGTATTTTATTGAAATAAAAGCAAATTTTTATGCAAAATTTACATCAGATACAGAAATTTTTAATTTTAATATAATAGTTCATTTTTAATTTATTTAGAATAATAGAGAGAAAAATTAAGAAGAAGATAAAAGTAGACCAAATTGATGAAAATGAAGGATCGAATTTACTAACAACCAATGGATGAGCATAAATGCAAGTATAGAACTAAACTATAAAAACTATATATATATATATATATAAATTAAGTTGAAAATATCTAATTAAATCTATCTGGATAAAGAAGTTATAAATTTCGGTTGTTTCATAAAGAAGGAACTACTCTACAGTACTCACCTCTGGAACACCGATAGTAGTAGTCAGAAGTTTTATGAATTTACATAGAGAATTAGTGCAAAAAATATCGCAAATAGAACAAAATAACAGCTGTGATAATATATAGCAGTTGCACATTCAAAAGCAAGGTGAGTGATGATTAACATACAGCTAATCCAATAAATAAACAAATCATTGACCCAGTAAAAAATTTCTTATACTCGGCTTGGGCACACTTAACATGTGTTATATGTTAAGTATAAAGTTTTTTTTTTTCAAAGCTATAAGTTAATAACCGAAATTTAAAAAAATTTTTCACTGTGAATGCATAAAAGTATTTTATTTAATAAAAGAAGAGTAATCTTACTTCCAGAATACGACGAAAACAGTTGTTGTTGTTAGAAGCAAAACAATCGCGCATGTTACTATCAATGCTGTGCTTTGTAACGATGGAATATTATGGTACGATACATCAATGAGCTGCAAAAATAATTTTAAGATATTATTTTGTTATCAGAGATTATTAAAAATGTTGATTTATGGGAGTGTAAATAAATGATATTGCATTGTGGTTAATTAAACTACACTGAAAAAAAAAATTCTTGACTGGAGGATAAATTTTCTTGGCTCAAGAAAATATTAAAGAAGAAAATTTCTTGAATGAAGTCAAAGTTTCGTGAGCCAAGAAAATTTTTTCTTGCTCCAAAATAACTTTTGTCTTCCTTAAAATTTTCTTGGTGCAAGAAATTTTTTTTCTGTGCACCTAAATATTTGGTTGTAACTAAATAAAAATAGCTTTATACATAGAATTGAAGAATGTTTTTATTAGATTTGTTCGTAAAATTTAACTATTGCATTTGGTCTTATGGCAAAAGTTTCTGAAAATTTTTTTATATTATGTTTTCAGGGCGCAAGAAGCATCAGAAAATAGTATTCGTTCAAAAGTTTATAAATGTATGTGATTTAGTTATTATATATGTATATAATATGGAGTATAACGCGGCTTATCATCGCAATAGCGCCGACAATTCTTGAGGGATCTTTATAAAACTCCTACATTTTTTCTTTGAGTAAATATCGTGAACAAGCTCAAAGATGAGCAAAATCAGCCGATTAATTTAGAAATGGTTAACATTTGAAATTTTTAAAAAAGCGTAAATCGTGTATTTTCGTGGTTTTATTCATTAATAACTTTTGATTTAGAAAATATACACTTTATTTTTGAAAATATCACGTTCAAACTGATGATCTATAGTTTAATTTTATCTTCTAAACTTATACTTTATAATCATTTTTAGTGATTTTACGAAGGTTACTAGTCATAGAAAAGACTTGAGTGATTTTGGAGTGAGAAGAAATTTTTTTAGCTCAAGAAAATTTGACTTCATTCAAATAAATTTTTAGTCTTCTTTAATATTTTCTTAGTTTAAGGAAATTTAATCTTGAGTCAAGAATTTTTTCTTTCAGTGTATTTATGTGATTTTTTCATCAAATAACTTTTGAATGAGAAAAGTAAGTCTCATTCCTGTGAATTTTATGTAAATGCTGACAAGATAAGCTTTAGGTAATATTGTTTACTTTTTATTTTTCAATAATTTGTATCCCTTTAATCATAGTTTACAGCCGACGGTATGAAAATTCAAAAATTAATCTTTGAGAAATCTCTTTTCATTTTAGATGCCAAATTCAAACGTCCTTTTTTTATTATTCTGATAGTTTCTCAAAAGTTGATTTAAAATATTTTTTCATTTTATCGATGAAATTTTATCGAAATATTTTATAATAATAAGAGAACAGCAATAATAAAAATAACTCTGAATAATTTTAATTTGACAAGCTGGATTATCAGTTCTATAATATAATATCAGGATCAAAACTTTCGTACTAACGATCCCTTAATTAATGTAACATCAAGAAATAAGTATTTAGCAAGTTTAATAAATGGGCATGATAACTTGATAAGTACTTAAAGTACTTAAGTACTTACAGGAATATTACCGCAATCCTCCAACTCCGCTAATGGGGCCTCCGAACAAAATGTTCCCTCTTTAAGAAAGGGTGGCCGAGGCGGGGGTGGTAATCGGAACATAGGTGGAGGTCCTGAACATTCTGGACAGTCTGCCGCGTCCAGTGACCTTAATTCAGCCATGTTTCTTCTTAATGAGCTAAAGTAATTAATACATCATTATTATTTAATTAGTAAAATTATTAAAAAAATTTTTTTCAATTTATAAAATGAAAAGCCTGCTTTAAAATTATCATTTGACAAAGTAACAAATAAATAATTTCAAACTTTTCAAATCGGCTATTAAGGTATATATATCCCTTTTGTAGACCACATTATTTTTATAATCAAACACTCAAATCACTTCAATTTATTTGAGTTTTTTAATTTCATTTTTAAATTCAACAATTTATGTCAATATTTATTTTTTTGAAACATAAAATAGTGCAATGTTTGGTAAAATTCATTAATTAAATGTTTCTAAGAATTGACAAAATAAAAAAAAAAAAATTATAAAATGTACTGAAAAAAAAAATTAACTTGAATCAAGAGAAAAAATAATTGTGAAGAGTTTCAATGTCTTGAATCAAGAAGAAAAATTATTGAATGAAGTAAAATTTACTTAAACCTTGAAAAATTTCTTACTTTAAGAATTTTTCTTCTCAAATCAAGAAGATGAAGTTCTTCAAATTTATTTACTTGATTCAAGTTAATTTTTTTTTCTGTGTAATAATTTATTCAGTAAGTCAATGAATGAATTGTATTTAAGTGAATTTCGTAATGGAATTTCCATTTGTTGTTTTTATATAAAGCCATGCTAGTTAATAACAGAAAACAATGGTCATTAACAGGGACATATTTACCTGAGAGCTTAGGAAGAAAAGTTGTTACTGATATAATACTCAAAAATAAAAGCGTTATCAACATTTCTCGAGTTGTAAATGAACTCCTATAAAAGATTACAAGATTAGTACTGTCTTCTAATTGAAGTGTGATGACTACAATGGAGGTCGACTCAAAGATTTAGTTTATTCAAAATTTTATGTTTTCTTCTAATTCCATGTCATCAATTATTCTCAATTAAACTACCATTTTTTTCATTGAATTATTTTTTAAGAATCAATGAATGTTTTAATTTAAATTCATAATTTTTTTTTTTTTTTTTTTCCCCCAAAATATAGTACATAAAAGAATATTGTACAATACATATATGCTTTATATTCATAGTGAATCTGTAACAATGTGGTCATTGATTACTTTGAGTTTACATAAAATGCGCATGCGTTTAATTCAACCTGCACAATATATGTTACTGAGGGTGGTTTATATTTTAATTAATAAAATTTTATTTTTATTTTTTATTTAAAAAAAAAGTGTTTTGGTAAATAATCATGATTTTTTACCTTAAAAATTCTATCATCATCACATCGGATTGCCACATTAACATGCCGAGCATTCACTTTTTATTAACCATTATGCTCGTCAAATATTTATTTATCATTGTTTAATATTTCTTTTTTACATTAAACATATCGGATTATCTTGATAATTACCCGATAATTTAATACACAGTTGAACTTTCTTGTATTTAAATGATGTAAAACTAAATTTTATTAATCACAGCAAAAAATTAATCATTACAGTAGTCTTTGGTAAATTAAAAAACAAAAATTAATAAATAAATAAATATTTTTAAAATCAGCCCACAATTGTAAGATACTGTACAAATTTTACGGTATTGATTAACTACGCGTCATATCGCTTCTTTCAGTCACAAGAGCTGGTTACAAAAGAAAAAAAAAATTTAAGAAAATAAATTTAACAATCGATATTAATATTTATAGATATAGTTACTAAAATATAATATTAATATGTCCATTTTGTACTTTTTTTATCACAATAAACAACAATAAACTGTCTAGAGAAATTTATTCGCGAGATTGAATTTAATTAGGGTGGAAAAAGTTGATAAGACGACCGATGCTTGTTATCCTGTGTTACCCTTACACAGGGTAGAATAATATGGAATACTATGAGAAATGTTTTACGGCGCTGCAGTCGTACTACCCCTAAATTCTCAATTGCTAACTTTCATCCCCCATAAATTTTCTAGCGTTTCTCAATGGACATAATTACACTGAGAGAAAAAATTTCTCTTGAAAAAAATTAGCAGTGATAAAAAATTAACTTGTTGGAAAGTTTAAATAATTTTATTTCTTAGTTGAAGAGATAAAAATTCTTCATGAAAATTAAGTTAACCGACATTTCAAAATTTTTAGAAATTTTTTATTGAAAAAATTTCAATCAAACAATTAAAAAAAAAAATTGTCACATGTAAAAAAACTTGAAAAACTATAAGTGCAATTTTTTAGAAATATCTTTTTAATTGTAATTTAATTAATAAAAAAAAATCAAAAATTTTCACACGTCTGCTAACTTCAGTGTCATAAATTCTTCTCACAGTAACTTTTTTGTTGAAAACAAATTTTTTTGATTTAAAAAAAAAAAAACATTTTTGATCGAAAATTTGCGAACTTTCATCCAAAATTGTTCTTTCTCAAATCTAGAAAATTTTTTTCAACAAGAAAGTTACTGTGAGAAAAATTTTGATTATTTCAGCAATTGAAAATTTTCAACAATTTTATTTTTAATGACAACGTTTCTCATTTTTTTCAAAAGAAATTTTTTTTCTCAGCGCTTTTTATTTTATCAAATTTTTAAAAAAATTTTATTTACTTAAAAAAATTGACATTATTTTTTTTTTTTTACAAACTTATTATTATTAATAAGTTTTATTATACAAAATACCGAAAAAGTTTTTTTTAGTTACTAAAAAATTTTTAAAAATTTTTTAATACTGATAAATTAATATGTAATGATAAAAACACTTAAAAAAATGTTGCATAGCGGCGTATTACAATGGCCACATATATCAAGACCATCGAACATAGCGAAGCTTAGCAGTTTTATCTCCACAGGTTAGGGAACGCCGCTGCAAGTGATTGTAGCGCTTGCAGGGAGCTAGTCTGTGGTTCGTCAAATACATTGAGGTGTTATTTGAGTGTAGAAAAGCACATGCTTATCGGAAAATCGGCCGGAGCATGGGCTCGAACTCAAGACCGTTGGCAGGGCGACTGTTTGTAGCGACAAACTAGCGTCGCAGCCATCATCGCCAAAGCAAGACTTTTACTATATCATTTCACTTAACACTACTATGCATAAAGAGCATATAATTTTTCAAATTTGTTAAAAAGGTGTAAATTTATTAAATTAAAAATAATAATAATAATATTTAAGTCAATTTGTATTTAAAAAAAAAATTGAGTTAGTATAAAATCATAACATTTAATTACATTTTAAGGATGAAAGTAAAATTTATATTATTTTAGATGTTACATAAAATTTATTAACGAAAAAAAAAATCTTTTCTACAATAGTAGGTATTGAAAAAAAAAATTGTAAATTTATAATATCACTAAATAATTACATATTTTTTTACAGGAATAATATATATAATTCGAATATTAGTAAATTTAATGATCAATCTTTAGATTGTACTTGTATGAAACCCTTTACCGGTTGGAATGAAAAATCTACCAGAATTATTGGTATTAGGAGAACTGACGTAAGTTCCTGGCGGTGGATAAGGTCCTGATGGAGGTTTTGGAGCTCTTACAGGATACCCGGATGTAATACTGCCTGTTTTAGCACCCTGAATATAATATTAAAATAAATAATTAAAAATATTGCAACAAATTAATATTATAAAACTCGGCTGCCCAATTTCAAAACACAGTAATTAACACTTAGAAATTAAAAAAAAGTTTGCCTGCTAAATTGATGAAAAATTTGATTTATGAATAGAAAATACTTGAATATAAATATTAAAAAAAATTAGGTATAAAAATTTTGCAGTTACTGTGTTTTCAAATTGGACATCCGAACTATATTAGGTAAATATACCTGTGGCTGTTGTTGGATTGGTATTGCTCCACCATGTACTGTTACATGATTACTGGGACGTAAATAAAATTTTTCTTCTGAATACGTATTATTATGATCCATTGGATGCAGATTCGTTACGTATGCTACTTATAAAATTAAATAAAAAAAAAAAAAAATCACAATAAAATTTAATTTGAATATTTTTATAATACAGCTAATAATGACTGACCTGGCTGATGGGTAATTGGTGCTCGGTTACTTGACAAATAAACCGATTTACCTTGATCAGTTTCTCGTGATGATTGTGACGTAGGTGCTGAATAACTGTAAACACTTTGTCCACCAGGAGTTGAATAAAATGTTGAGGGAGGATACTGGTTATTTTCTAATGAAAAAAAATTTTGCGTGCTCATTATTTATTTTATTTTAAATAATATTTTCAGAGTAAAAAAATATTAAAATAATGAACTTACTGTTCCAGAGAACGGCACGTGAGTCACCAGTTCTTCGCGCAGCATCATCAGACTCTGTAAAACCCATTCCATCTCCCCTTACGTCACCTAGTTTTTAATAAAAATTTATTTATCAATCACAGTGAGTGTTAAAAATAATTTAATTTAATTGAAATAAAATTTACGTGAGTGAGGAGGATTATAATTTGGCATTGGTTGAGGCTTGTATCCGTAAGCTGTATGATAAGACGATGCTGAAGGTGGTGGTGACGGACTATGACTTCTTTTTAGTGGTCCCTGTTTAAATATATGAAAAAATATTTTAGCTATAAAAAAAAGTGAATTTTTTTTTATGAATATCAATTATGTTATAATTAAATTTGTACATTTACGTTAGTCATCAATGTATGAGATGAAGTAGCAGTTGTTGCAACTTTGTACAGCGAACTCCGAGTTGGCAGAGGTAAAAACAATTGTTGATGTACTACGTTTGCTCCTGTTGTTTGATAATTACCAACAGTAAGAACATCTGAGCATATGCTGTAAAAAAATTTTATAATTAAATTAATAAAATAATATCATATAGTGAAAAACACAAATTGACGGTCTAAATAGCAATTTGTCTAACTCCTTATTTTTTAGAGGGTGATTTTTTAACATTTTGATGTAGCAATAATCCAATTATAAATTATTTGAATGATTAAAACCTAAATATTATATATATCTTTATTAGATAATAATAATATTAAATGGTTTTTTAAAGTGATAATAAATTTTGAACTAATTGTTTTTATCGTACAAATAGATTCTCTTAAATGGAGTTAGACAATCTGCTAATTAGAACGTCGAAATGTAAAAAATAAATACTTTGTTTCTTTAGTTAGTTGTCGACGTCTATTATCATCTTCATTAAGAACTTTTTTAAGTTGTAAAAATAATTGATGTTTTTCATCTTTTAATTGTGAAAGTTCAGTTTCTAAACTGCAAATTTGTTCTCGAGTTTCCCCTAAAGTCATAACATCTTGTTTTTGTTGTCTTTCACGTTCTTTTCTTAATCTTTCTTCTTCGGCATCAGCTTCTTGTTCTATTTAAATATAAACGAAAGTAGTCAATAAATAATATAAAAAACTATTATTATTAAAATGAAAGCATAAATAATTTTTTACAAATTAAAACCTTGTTTTTTTCGTTGACGTTCTCTGGTGATGTGATTTTTTAATGCTTGCCACATATGCTCACTCTGTTGCGGTGGTCCCGATACTATCGCTGGCATTGTTGTTATTTTTTTATTTACAACAATTGTTTTCTTTATTCATACATTAACAGTTCGTTTAAACTGTAACTTCACACAGGGATCACTGAATTTACTTTTTTTGTCAATAATATTTTGGAGCTGTATATTAGTCTTAATACTGTATAATTTTACTATAGATGATGGATGTCGCTTGCTTGTTGTTAATTTTGACTGTTGTAAAACAAGCTTTAGGTACACTCGGTTATAAATCTATAGTATGTATCGTTTCTAGGATTCTAGTTTATCAACAGAACAAACGATGTATTTTCATTTTAATATGGAGCGTCGTAGACAGATGTCAACCGTGAAATTTCTGAACGCGGTAAATAAAAATTGCTAACTTTTAAGCTTATAAAAAATACTGTGATTTTGTATTTTTTTCAACACTTTAATTGCAAGTAAAAAGTTACTTAAAGCAAATTGCATGCATAATTTTTCAAATCTTCTGTATGTGAAATTTTTTCTTTTAATTTTTTTGCAAAAATTTTTTCAATGAAAAAAATTATAAAAATTTTCAGATGTCGACTTGTTTATTTTTTTTCATTAATTAAATAATACCCGAAAAAAAATTTTTTAAATTGCACTTGTAGTTTTTTTAATTTTTTACATGTGAATTTTTTTTTTTTTATTTTTGTGTAATAATTTTTTAAATAAAAAATTCTAAAAATTTCCATAAAAAAAATTTTTTTTTCAAATTTACAATTATAATTTTATTTTAATTTCTACAAGTGGAATTTTTTTTCTTAATTTTTTTCAGTATAATTTAATTGTTATAAAAATCTAAAAAAATTGTTAGAGTTTGCTAAATTCAGTATCATATTTTCTTTTATTAAAAATAATTGAATCTAAAGTAATGAAAAAATAATTTCATTAGAACATTAAATGAATTCTTTCATTCGAGTAGTACGCTATGAATCTCGAGTTTGGATATTAATTCCGTCTTAATTTTATACGTGAAAAAAAGTATAATTGCATAAATATAATTATAAAAAAATTACTTGCTAAAATTATGTATATAATTAACGTAAGTATATTGAAAATAATAATAATAATTTTTCACTTAGTCGACAACGAAATAAATTATGAATAAATACGATTGAAATAATTTTCAACTTTCCAAGCATTTATTGGATTTATTTATGTTATAGAATGACAAATTTTGAAATTTTAATACTTCTAATCCCCAACTTGTCCATCCGGGTAACAAGTATCTGGCAAATATTTCCAAACAATTAGGATTTGGAGGTAGATAAGTTTTTAACACGTCTGTAATTTAATAAAAAAGAAATTCATTGATGTTTCTAATAAAAATATGGAATGTATAAAATTTAGGTATAAAATACTATTTACCTATCAGAGGAGGTTTGTGAGAATGTATAGCACTAGGTACGCTAATAATTAATTTTTTATCTGGTATTTGAGGTATTGCGCTTTGATTTAAACTACCGAAAATTAATAGTTCAAATGGTTGTTTTACTGATGAATTATTGAAATCACAAATTGTTTCTCCTGATTTAGTTACCTGTAAAGAAAAAATTTTAAATTATTATAAAAATATTTCTTTATGTTTAATTATTTATTTAGGTACTTACTTTGATCCAATACCATTTAGCGATATATTTGATTCCCCACAATGGGAATATAACATCAAATATATAATTATAATGACTTTGAGAATTAGTACACCAGATTGCGATAATACCACTGGAATTTAGTAATTTATTGATGGGAATTTTAGTTAACTCTTCATTAAACATCATTTTATAACTTTTGTTTTTATTTCTCCGTATGAATTTATTCCACCAGGGTGGATCCATAAGAATAAAATCAAATTGATTATTCATTTCCAATTTTTTATCAATATCTTTTACGTCATAAGAATAAAAATGAGAATTACTTGGAAATACATATTGGTTTGAATGTACAGTTGTAATAATAGGATTATCCGATTGATTGCACCCATAAAAATGATCCGATATGTTGTACTCGATATCATAAAATTCTTGAGATGCATCACGAGCTCGTTTATTATAATCATGTTCAACTATTTTATTAAATATCTGTTTTTCCGCAACACCAGCTAATATTTCATCAGCAGTCTCTTGAATAAATTTTATTTCATCCAATTTTTCAATTGAAACAGAATCATGGCTAGTTTTTCTTTTTTTAGTTTTTTTTTTGTTCGTTATAGATTTATCTTCATTCATTTTTGGTATTTGGTTATTGCGTAAGAATGGTGAATTAATATCAAATACTTTTTCGTTAAATTCTAATTCCAATAATTCATTGTCATTATATACGTTGTTATAAATTTTATTCAGATATTCAAGGTGGGAAATAATCCATCCCTTATCATGAACTACAACAATGCTCATGTTATTTCAATTTATTAAAATATTCGTTTGTAATATTACGATAAATAATTAAATATTGAATATGATCTAATTAAATTTTGAATTCTGGGTGAAGTATTTTAGAGTATATAAATCATTTGTTGATTCTCTTTAATAATTTTGACGACACTAATTTATCTGAAATATTTAAAAATTTCGGCATTATTCCAAATGAATATTTTCAATTACGAAAATTTTATATACGTTTATATTAAATTAATGTATAAAATGTTTAATCTTCCGTTCATCAAGTAATTATCAATATTTTATAGTTCACATTTTTAACATTGCATTTTCAATAATTAAATTATTCTAGGAGCTTCATTCGTTTTATTGCTTATAAAATATTGAATTATCATTTTACTCAATTAGTGTGAGAGTAAAAAAATTACTGGTGTTAATACAACTTTTAGAATTTAAAAAATCCATAAATGTATATCGATAAAAAATGTGCAGTTGAAACAAAATTGAAATTCTTTACTTCTAGACATCAATTGAAAAATTTGAATTAAACCAAATTAATTAAAAAAAATTAGTTTGTCATCCAAATTTAAAGAAATGTAAATAATACAATAATAAAGTTTGAGGATAAATAATCAAATTTTAAATTTATTAGCACTATTTATGTATCCATATTTTCAGATTATTTACAAATTGTCTATAGAAATCAAGTATATAATTATAACGAGTCTATGACATTGATCTTAGCAGTCACTTGAACATTCTTTAATTTTATTTAACAAACAAATTTGTTCAGAAAAATTATTTTTTTAAAATTGCATTTAAAAATTTTTTTATAATTTTTACATCTTAATTTTTTTCTTATTTTTTTTTGCTATATATAATTTATTTATTACAAAAATTCTCAAGTCGATCATTATAATTATGATTTAATTGAAAAAACTTTTTATGAAAATTAATTTAGCATAATACTAAAGTTAGCCGACGATTTTAATTTTTTAATAATTAAATTAGAACAAAAAAATATTCTTTAAAAATTTCACTTACAGTTTTCAAAGTTTTTTACAAGTGAAATTTTTTTTTTTTATTTTTTTGTAATCATTTCTTCAATAAAAAAAAATTCTAAAAATTTTTAAATGTCGGCTAACTTAATTTTCATTAATTTAGCAGATATTTAATAATTTTTAGAACTTTTTTTAACAAATAAATAATGGCAAAAAAAATAAAAAAAAAAAAATTGACATGTAGAAATTTAAAAAAATTAAAAATTTAATTTTTTAAAAATAATTTAATTGTTAAATAAAATTGATAATTGGTCAAGTGACAGCTAACTTTAATCTCATATAATTTTTTTACTATAGTGATAGTGATAGATATTTTAAATATTTATGTTTAAAAAATAACAATGTAGAATTATTTTTTTTATATCGTCATGAAAGCAACAGTAAAATCTTAAAGGTTGCTAATAAACTTAAAATATTTTTGTAACTTGTCTGAAAAAATAAATTTATATATAAAACTTTTATTAGATACTTACACCAAGTTCGTATGTAAATAAATACCGTGAATACCTTTCATATGAGTGTATAAAATGACCCTAAGGGTCATTCACCAGCTATGGATCCACTGTTGTGTCATTGTTTCAGTTGACTGAATCAGTTGTCGGTTAAAGAGAAGCATCATCTATTCTAACCTCTCAAGTCTTAAAACTTTATTCACAAATTTATTTAAATGATTTACTCATATAAAATAAATCACAAAAGTTTTATTTGTTAGTTATGTGTTTTCTTCTGATTAAATTGTTATTGAAATTACAACATTAAAATCAACAATTAATTACAACACTTAGGAAGCCATTAACAAAAAAGTTGTTTACATTTTTTCCAACATTATCAAATAATGTTATTAAGTTATTTAACTTATTAAATAAGTTTCTTAATGACATACGATGTTTAATTAATAATCATTATTAATACTTGGTAAGTATTGATGTGTAAATTACTTTTAATTTATAATTTTTATTTTAAAAAATTGAAAACGTGACTAACCGGAATAATGCGCTTAATTATCATAATTATTATTATTATTATCGTTATAGTGTTATTATTATAAATATGAACTAACAAATTATATTTAACTTTACGATTTTGGTTTTCAATATTACTTTGTAAAAATTTTATCTTAAAAAATATTAACATAAAAACTTTATTTTTTATATTTTATTATTTTTTAAGGATTAATAGATTATATGACATGACTATTTTTATATTTAAAATTGTCAAATGCGGGAATTAGAACATTTTGAATAATGTTTGATTATATTTTAAGTTAGTATTAAATTTATCGTGTTATTTTTAAATATATATCAAGACTTTTTAAAAATATGAGTGAAACTTTTCAAATATATTTTTAAAATGTATAACTTGCTTGTCAAAACAAAAAAATTTTCTTACAACTTTCGATACTAGATTTTTAATATAAGAATTACAAAGTTATACTCGTTTATTAAATAAGGTAATTTTTTAATTATATTTATTCAGCATTATAAAGTTTTCTCTTTATTTTTATGAATAATTTAATTAATTTAAAGTAGAAGTTGAGATAGTTTGATAGTAGCTCATTTTTTTAATTCATTTGATTAAATAAAAATAAAATGCTTACTTACAATTTTATTAAAAATTTAATAATATAAAAATATTCTTTTGACGTATTGACAAATTTATTTTCTGAACTTGTTTAATTTTTTTGAACTTAAAAAAACATTAAATTTGAAAAAAATCATACTATAGAAGTTTTTAGAAAAAATTTATATTTATATGTTTCACAAATCAAAAAATATAAAAATATTTAAGTATTTTTATTCATTGAAAAAAAATTTTTTGATAGATTATTTTTAAATTTTAAGGAAGTACGAGCGTAACTAATGAATCAAAGTAATGTTAAAATTTTTTTTCTCCCCTCCGTGCGGAAAGCGTCAATTTTCCGCCCGCTGCGCTAAACGAAAATGCCGCTTTCCGCCTCCGTCGAGGAGAAAAATAGTATTCTCACCACGGGCAGGAAATAAGAAAGCCTCAGATCACATGTTTGTCGACCTCGGCTTCGCCTCTCGGTCAACAATTACATGTAATCTGAGACATTTCTTATTTTCCTGCCCTAGGTAAGAAAAATACTATTTTAATTTTAATGTTCCCAACATTCGTCAAAATTCTTTATTTTAATTTAAAATAATTTGAACAATTTAATAATGAATGATTTTCACTTATTTAATAAAATAAAGTAATAAAATGACTTTTGTATTTATTACTTGCCGGAGTAAATAAACAGATTTGGCAATAGCGCGCTTGATTATACCCATAACAGAGACATGGATGAGTGTGTGAGTTTAACATTTCTCTCTCTGTAACTATATTTCTATCCTTTTCTTATTTCTCAGCTGTTGACGCGATGTTGTCAAATCTTTATTCGAATAAATGGCTGACGACAGACGAGTTACAAACATAAAATTTAACTTTAAATATTTAAATATTATAGTAGTAATGTATTATTATTCAATTGTTTTTATATTTTGCAATAATCCAAGTTTCTTATATATAGTTTTTTATTCGTTAAAGTTGGAAGGTTAATATTGAAAAAAATCTTAAAAGTCTCGACAAAAGTTTGTTCGCCATAAGAGCCCGTGTATAAGGAGATAAAAAGTGTGATTTTTAAAATTTAATATCTAAGTAACTAAATAGTGAATCTTTTTAAAATTTTGGAATTAAATAAATGATGTATTTATTTATACGTATATTTAATTTCAAAGCTCAAAGTTGGAAATTATTTTTTACATTAGATTCGCTCGTACTTCCTTAAGATGAAAATTTGTTTCAACTGTGATTTTAAAAAATGACTGTAATTAAAATTCTTACACAGTGAAGAAAAATTATTCGTTGCAAGTATATATTCTAATTGTTATTGATTCATACTAGATATATAGTTAAAACGAGGAAGTAATTACTCAATAATAAACTGACCAACGAGTATGTGTATTTGCTTGCAATTGTAAACGGATGTTCTCAGCATACCTGTTATACTGTTTGTAGTAATATTTGATTCAATATATTTTATCATAATAGCATCAAAATATCTTGTAATTAATTACAATAATTATTATTATTATTATATCGTTTTTACTTATATACCTATTTTGGTTTTTACAAGACTGTAACCCATATTCTCCACATTTTTGCTATTACCACAGTAATACCACTCAAGTGCCACTTTTTGTTATCATATAACATTCATAATGTTATACCTGGCTTTTTCGGCCCTTTTAACTAACACTTGTTTCTTTTTGCGTTCAACTCTTTTTATAATCAACATGTTCTCCGCTTTTTTATAATTGCCATCTCCTTTTTGCACATAACCTCTATTCTCAATGCGGCTTTGGACCGACTTGTGCTTTCTGTACTGTATTCACCCTATTCCTCACCCCTTTCTATCGGTTGTTGGAATAGTGGCGATGGGGAAACCACAGAGAAAACCCATGCCAGTACAGTCGGCTACCGGAGCGACCTCCGACGGTTGGTGTTGGAACTATTCGAACAACCGTCGGGGATCGAACCCTCACCTCACGACAAGATGTACAAGATGCACGAACGAACTAACGGGGATAATGACTTAGTCCGCTTGGCCATCATGCCGCTTTTAATTACAATAATTATTAAAATTATTCAAAAAAATTTAATTGAAAATTAATTTTAAGGGGGATAGCCACTGTGAGGATCGAAAAAATAGGTGATTTTCGGGAATTTTTTTGACTGGCATAATAAAGGAATTTGGGGATCAGGTTTTTTTTGTTTTATAAAGTATACATTGAAGATCATTCTCCTAAATTTTGATTAAAAAAATTTCCCTCACCACGGTGTGATCTCTAACTCAAAAACAAATTATCTAAAACAAAAAAACGAAACAGCGTTGTAATCTGCATGCGTGTGGTTATCGTTGCACGTAGGGGATTTTGAAAATTTGGATTTAAATAAAAATGGCGACATATTAGAAATTTTCTCATTTTTTTTTAATTCAAACAATCCTAAAATATCTTAAAAATCAAAATTTTCAAAATCCCCTATGTGCAACGATAGCTACTAAATAGACGAATACGGGGAAAAAAAAGTTGCAAATCGGTTCATATTTATCCAAATTACAGTTCCCACCAGTTTTCAATGATCATTTGACATACTGCCACAAAAATGACTATGACTCAAAAAATATTCGGAATTTTCATATGTAACTCTAGACACATATTTTTGAATGTATAAACTTTGATTTAATTAAAAAAAAAAAAATTTTTTTTTTTAATTTCACAGTGGCTATCCCCCTTAAATGACCTTCATTTATTAATAATTTATTTTATAAATACAATTATGTAATAATCCTTGTTATTTTGGGTTGCAACAGATTCATTCTTGTTATTTTAATAGAAGAAAAAACATATTATTACAATGGATGATGTTATGAAAGAGATAAAGGAATGTAATGGAATTCGGTATCCATTTTACCGAACTGCAGCAAAAGTTTTGATACTACATCGAAAACTTCACAGTAAATATTTAACTCTAATTATAAATTCCTAAAATAAATACTTTGTTGTAAATAAAATTTTTTAAATTTAATTTGATATGATTATTTCAGTGCAATACGTACCTCTTCAGTTGGTAATTGGAGTGTTTGAACGTCATAAGTTATCAATAACTGAAAATTCAGTTATATTAGATGAAACTGAAGTTGAAGATGTTATAGCAGATATATATTTCGCAGCTCGTAAAGAAGCTAATGTTGAGTTTGATATTAATAAAATTACAAAGTTAGCAGTTGCATGTATATTTTCGACGTTCAACAAGTAAGTAACTTCTTTTTATTGCCAAAAATAATTCGTTTAAATTGAATTACTTACATTATTCACAGACCTTATTTCATGAATTTGTTGAGATTACATATTTAATAATTATTTATCACACTAAAAAACCAGGAAAATAAAAAAAAAGAATTTTAATAAATGATTTTAAAGTCTTTTTATCTAAGAATTTATTACAGTATTCAACATGATTTAATGTTGCAATCAATAATCTGACGTGCTTGAATTTATTTTTCATCTCATAGCTTTAAGAAAATATTAAAAATAAACATTAAGATTGACTTTTATTCAGAGTTGAAGATATGAATATAATATTTTTCATATCACAAATTTATATACGGTATTGATGATGTACTTTTTTAATATTTTTCGTTTTATTCAATGGAATTTATTAAGAAGGATTTTATTATTTTCCTTAGATATTATAAATAATTTATAACTTCATTTCAGAACAATTGTATTTTTATAACGTACATTGTCAATTAGCGTCAAAGATAATGGAATAATTTTATGTGTATTGAAGTTCTGAGAGAAAATTTCAATTATTTATGTTTTAAATATTATATTACTACTTTCATTAATAATAAAAATTATGTCATTTAATGCAAGAAAATCGAATAAATTATTCAAATATTTTTTTTGACGTATCAGTATATTAAATTTTTAAGTAAATGTATAATTAATGAATTTAAATTTTAATTGCAGCAAAGGAAAAGCTTCAGTATTCTCAGTAAAAGTATTATTAACTTTAATCAGTTGCGGTAGTCTTCACGAAAAATATGAATACTTTTACCAATTGCTGGCCGATCACAATGCATGTTTGTCTAAGGCCGCTTTACATACTCTACTTACAAGCATTTGTAAAGTAACAGAATTACTTGGTGAAAGTGTTGAGTATGGTAGCCACTTGGTACAATCGACTGTTGACAGTTGTTTCGTTGAGTCACAGGGTTGTTTAGGTGTCAGTAAAACGGAATTAAGATTATGGCTAATGCAGGATCCACCTCTACTCTCCTGGATATCAACGTTCAATCGTTTAAAATTAGCCGAACATGTTGTTCATCATATTAAATGTTCATCGTGCAAAGTAACACCTATCCGTGGACCAAGATTTACTTGTTTAAGATGTGCACGGTACCATCAATGTCAAACGTGCTTTTTCTTTGCTAAAACATCTCATAAACATAAATTAAAGCATCCAGTCAAAGAATATTGCACAAAGGTTCTTATTTTCATTACTATTTTTAAATGATAAAAAAAGTATATAATTTTTATTTATTCTATATTATTTAGACTTTGAGTAAACAAAATACCAAACCAATAGTTGATCTTATTAGAAGTAAATTAAGATTATGTCCGATCCAAGTGTCTGCGCAGTTAGAATCATCAGCATTAAATGCATTACCATTCAATAAAGAAGAATCGGTATTTTCTGATAGTACTATTGATTCTTCTTTGTCAGCTTCAATAACAAATGAAAAAGTTAATAATGATCCTCAAAAAGAATTGTCGAGCATCATTAATCACTTGGAACAAGAAAATAAAAAATTACAAGTTGAATTGAAGGAAATATGCGGTAATCGTGATGAAAGGCTGCAACAGCACCGAGAAGCTATTGAAGCTCAATTACAACGATTAAAAACACTAAAGGTGAGTCTTATTTATTTTAACTGATTCTAGTTTCCTGATGACTGTCGTATTTTTGTTCCATCAGTATCTTTAGAGCTTGATAGTTTTAATATTATATTGATAAGGTGTAAGATACTAAAACTAGATAATAATATAACCCTGAAGCCAAAACTTTTAGAAACAATATTATTAACATAGAAACCCTTAAGGGGGGGGGGAGGGGGTAAGGTTAATTTGTACAAAAAAAAGGCATGTTTTTTGTGATTTTTTTGCGACGACACAGTTAAAATTTCTTTATTAAAACTAATGGCAGCAATTATTCGGACGCGTCTTAGAAAAAAAAAAATAGAATTGCGGTGCCCCTCATAACTTGGTGCTGGATCATCTGAAATCAAAAAATGAATGTTCATTCGTTAGTTAATAGTTTTCCCCAGGTAACGCTGGGAGGGTTTTTCAAAATTTCAATTTTTCCCTTTTTTGGAACACTTTGAAGGCTCAAATTAGCCGATTTCTTTTCGTAAAAATCGTGTTTTTCCATTCAAAGTATTCTAAAAAAGTGAAAAATTGAAATTTCAAAAAACCCTCCCAGCGTTACCTGGAGAAAACTATTAACTAACGAATGAACTTTTACTTTTGATTTCAGATGATCCAGCACCAAATTATCAGGGGCACCGCAATTCTACTTTTTTTTCGAGACACGTCCGAATAATTGCTGCCATTGCCGTATTTTTTAATATTTCTTCGTGAAAATTTTATATAATATTCTTCAAATGTCATATTTTATTGGACCATTAGTTTTAATAATGAGATTTTAACTGCGTCGTTGCAAAAAAATCACAAAAATACGCCTTCTTTGTACGAATTAACCTTACCCCCCCCCCCTAATCTTGATATATTTATTAGTTTGAAAATTTTTATTTATTTCATTCATATTTGTGATTATTTTTGTATAATTAATACATTGCGAGAACAAATTTTTTTTTTTTAAAATGGTCATATGAAAGTAATTTGCTGAGAATTTTAAACAATTTTATTTTTTAGTTAAAGAAATCAAAATTTTTCTCACAGTAGCTTTTTCGTTGAAATAAAGTTTTCTATACTTGGGAAAAAACAATTTTGGCTGAAAATCTATCTAAAATTGTTTTCTCCAAATCAAAAAAACTTTTTTGAAGAAATGTTTATTTCTTCAGCTAAGAAAGAAAATTATTTAAAATTTTTAAAAAATTAATTTCTTATTACAACATTGTTAATTAAAAAAAAATTTTTTTTTCTCTCAGTGTATAAAATAAGTATTATAACAAACAGAATAAACATATCAATAATATTAAAAAAATTGTTTCAGAAGTACATGTTCAATGGCCAACGGTCGTCATTTCCACAAACTATGCGCTGTGTACAAAGTACACCACTATTACCATCGTTACCAGTCGCATCTAGATTTTCAACATTACCTGAATTCCAATTAAGCCCGATTATCCGTCCAAGTAATAATGCTGATTGCAGTAATACGACAATCAGTAATATAAATCCATATGAAATAAATAGTAATCTATTCGACAACTCGAACGTTGACAGATCTCATGAAGAAACTAGAGAAGCATCAAGTACTTATGAAAATTCTAAATTGTCATCTAAAATTCAACTCAGCACTTGGATTGGAGGTATTTAAATATTTAATATTATCGATAAAAAATGAAATTAATATTTTTATTAAATTAATTAATTAGGAAATCGAACGAGTATTTATCAAGACCATGGTAACTTCTCCCAATGGTTGAATTCGAGTAATTCTAATTTACCTTCATCAAAATACTCGTCAAAGCCGTTGAACGTAACCGATAAAATGTCTCATGATGATTCACTGTTAGATAGCGCGCGAGACAATACACCGTCTAGTCTTCAGCGGCCTGATAAACATTCACGACATAGCAGTCTGCAAAATATTCAAGGTGATTTAAATGACATACTCAATCGATTGCAGAATATGGTTGCAAACGATTGTTTATTGGAAGGTAATTTACACTCTTTTTAAAAATAAATTATTATTATTACAAAAATTAATAATAATCTTATCGATTGACTCTGTCATGTTCATCATTGTTGTAAAATAAAAGAAAAATTTAGTCTCCATTATAAACTTCAATTGATATTTAAAAAACTATACTTTATGAGAAATAGTATATTACGACCCAAGGCCAGAAAGTTGGATTTCCTGGCGTATGGTGGATATGGGCCGAGGCGTAGCCGAGGCTATCATATCACATACGTCAGGGCATCCAACATTCTGGTCATGGGTTGTATACTATTTTTCTTGCTCTCCAGCCGAAAGTACGCAACCCCGGGGAAGGGGTTTTGCAAAACCGAGACGAAGCCGAGGTTTTGCCGGGGGTGAGGGGGGCGCCGCCCGACTTTTGTAAAGCCGAGGCGAAGCCGAGGTTTTACTGGTCGGGGCGGGCATAATAAAAAAGTAAAAATTAATAAATAAAAAAAAAATAAGTTATTTTAAAGTTTACTAACAAACGCTCTGATTAAGAGAGATAACATGCACAGAACTTGTCACAAATATTTAAACTCGATTTAATAACAGAATTAATTTTTTTAAGTTGATTAAAAATTAGTTTTTAATTAGACGGCTAAGAAAAATTGAAATTTAATTATTAGAAGCTTGTAGAGTACATGGATTGTTTTATAAACAAATCACTTTACTATAGCTGTCAAAATGTTGCTCTTCCTGGAGTATAGTGCGTCCAGGATGAGCGTACTTTCGGCTAGGAGAGCAAGAAAAA